CGGAGGCCTCTCCCGCTCCCCTCCCCACAGCAGTCCCTGCGCGGGACCTCACAGGAGAGTGACCTGAATTTCTGAGAGGCTAAGGCGTCGGCAGGGGCCGCCTGGGCCAGAGCCCCCTCCCCGGGGGAGCACCGAGGCAGGAGTCCCTCTCAGGCCCACTGGCTCCTGCCCCAGAGCTGGACGCGCTCGCCTGGATTCCTGGATTCCTGGATTCCTGGATTTGAGGCCTGAGTCTGTTACTCTGGTTGTGGGGCTTCAGGCCAGCTTTGGGCCAATTCCAACATCCTCCAAGTGTTTAGAGGCCACTTTCTTTTTCTTTTCTTTTTCTTTTTTCTTTTTTCCAGTTGGGGTGAAAAAGAGAATTAGCCATTGAATGAAAATCCAACAGATGAGTGTCTGGAGCCTCTACGGGGGCTTGCCCTTAATTTATATTCTAGAGGTCAGGGCATCTGTCCCCCTGAAGCCCACTCTCCAATGGGGGAGATGAGAAAAAAATATGAAAACAAATGAATAAGCTCAGTTCCATCAGTAATTAGTCCTCTGATGAAAATAGAAGAAGCATCCTTTTAAAAAAGACTGTATTTATTTATTCATGAGACCCAGAGAGAGAGGCAGAGACCCAGGCCGAGGGAGTGGCAGGCTCCATGCAGGGAGCTCGACGTGGGACTCGATCCCGGGACCCCGGGGCCACAGCCTGGGCCGGAGGCAGGTGCTCAACCGCTGAGCCACCCGGGCGCCCCTAGAAGAAGTGTTGTAATTTGGGTGACCTGGGAAGGGCTGCGGTTGCAGGACAAGGGAGCCACGCAGAGATCTGGGGAAAGAATATTCTTGGCCCAGGGAGGGACCCGTGCGAAGACCCTGGGGAGAACAAGACCCGCACAAGGGAGGGACCCGAGAAGGGCAGGACGCCTGGTGTGTTTGAAAAAAAAAATGATAATATTAGGAAGAAGGAGTGAGGGAGCAAAGGGATAGAGAGGACAGAGCTATCCCCTCCCCCCCCCCCCCCGTGTGATGGACAGAAGGAGAAATCTTTCCTCCACACACAAGGACTGTATGTAAAATACAAAAAAGAAAAAAAAAAGGAATCGTGAGATGTCTGTGTTGCAGCGAAGGTGGGAGGAAGACGAAGGGAGATGGGGCAAAAATCAGAAGAGAAAGAGGATGACGTGGATGTTGTTCCCACATCTCTCCATTGCCCACTCGCTTCGTAGAACAGTGAAACATTCCAATTTAAAGTATAACAAGATTTTAAAGAAAAGTATAATGAGATTGGGGGGGGGGATGTCCCATATGTTCAGCACGAGTGACTTGGTGTTCAAGGGAAACGCTCAGCTATTGCCTTCCTGGGTCTTTTGAGGCAAAATTTATATGGTCGGCAATGATGGTGGCCTTTCTCTCCCTCCCCTCCCCTCCCCTCCCCCCCTCCCCTCCCCTCCTCTCCCCTTCCCTCCCCTCCCCTTCTCTGGTCTTCTCTCCCCTCCTCTCCTCTCCTCTCCCCTTCCCTCCCCTCCCCTTCTCTGGTCTTCTCTCCCTCCTCTCCTCTCCTCCTCTCTCCTTTCTCTCTCTTTTGTCTTCTCTCCCTCTCCTTCCCTCCCCTCCCCCCTCCCCCTCCTCCGTCCCTCTCCCTCCCTCCCCCTCCCCCTCTGTGTCTTTGGGAACCGGGCCCAGGATACGCCCCCCCCCAGCGGGCAGCAGCGGTGTGTCCTGCAGACAGCGGCTCCGCAGCCCCCCCCCCCCCGCCCCCGGGTGATTTGCGGCCCGTGGAGGCCCCGGCCGGGCGCCAGCCTGGGGTCAGCAGCGGCCCCCCCGTGGGACCCGGGTCGTCAGGAGCCGGCCGGGCCGCTGACTGCTCCGTGAACCTCCGCCGCCGTAGAAACGGTTACGTAACTTTAAACAGTAATGACATTTTGCAGAAAAGTGCTTTTTAATTGCTACGTCTTCATTATTCTCTTTCAAAATCGCCCAGGAGGTTCTGCCTCCGAGACAGCTCGGCGTGATCGGAGTTTCCATTTTTAAAGAGCAATCAGTTTTGTGTTTCAGCCGCTCCCGGAACCCCCCAGCCCCAAACTTCATCTGCGTTCAGTGGCATTAAACGTGGTAGGTAATACTGCCTTTTGTATCCTTGCCAAACGGAGAGATGATTTGACGCAATTTTCTAAAAATGCTCTCCCCAAATTCCTTTTGGGCCGGGACCAAGAATAGAATATTTTATCCCCTACAAAAGGGAGAAAGAAAATGATGAGCAAGCTAGAAAAATAGGACTGAGAGTATAGTCTATAGAGTTCCAACAGGAACTTAACCCCAATCCATAGACTCAGATGCCTATAGGGGATTGGGATCAGCTAAAAATAAATTCTGCTTCGGAAGCGGAAAAACCGTGATACAGATAAAATGACTCAATAGTGCACAGCCTGAAAGAACGGTCGACGTCGCCGAGGAGGGACCGCACGGCCTGTTGGCTTGGGCCCGTCTTTGGGGCGTCTGTGTCGCGCTCCCGGGGGGCGAGCCCTCGCCAGCACCTCGCAGCCCCACGCGGGCCCCTGGCCCTTGGTGTGGAGCCACCAGGCCCCGCAGCCCGCGGTGCCCAAGCCACGGGCTCCCTCCATCCCTGAGAACCTTCCGTACGGACTGAGGGAGACCCGCCTTCCTGAATAGCTGCCCCCCGTCCCCCGCACCGTGCAGCCTCAACAGGCACAGAGCCCTAGAGCCCACTCCTGCCTGTGAGTCCCTGCAAACAGCTCGAGGCAGCCTGCGGGGCCTTCTCCTCCGTGGTTAGGTGCCCACGGCTCCTGCTCGCGGAGGCTCCTGAAGGTTCTGTTGACGCTGTGAACAACGTCCGTCCCAGCGGCGACTTCGTCATCACTATCACCATCAAAAGTAGGGCGCCGGGGGGGCGGGGGGGGCTCGGGCCATTAGGCGTCCGACTCTTGATTTCAGCTCAGGCGTGACCTCAGGGTCGTGGGACCGAGCGCCTGTCGGGCTCCAGGCTGGGCAGAGAGTCCCTTGAGGAGTCCCTCCTGCCCCCTCCCCCTGCTCTCTCTCTCTCTCTCAAATAAAGTAAATATTTTTAAAAACGGTAATAAAAGGAAGAAAGAAAAAAAAAAGGTAACAGGTAACATTTGCTCTCGGCTTGCCGTGTGCCAGCAACTGTTCCGGACAGTTTGCAGGGATTCCCTCCCTTGGCCCCCTCCACGGCGCTGCGCTGTGGGCACGTCGAGCGTCTCCGTTCTACGGAGGAAGAAGTAGGGCGTGAGACGGTTGGAGTGGCCGCCCGAGGTGCGATGAGGTGCGAGGAGGTGCGAGGAGGTGCGAGGTGTGAGCTGTGCAGGCCGTCGGCAGCGGGGCCTGACCCCCCCCCCCGCCCCCGGGCCCGCCGCGCCGCTCGTCTGCCCAGCGCCGTCCCGAACAGTCATTTCTCAGCTGCCGCTGAAGACGGGCTGGCGTGTTGGCGCCTCATTTCTTTTTTAAATGATTTGAAGGTGGGAGGGGGACGTGGAGGCACAGCCGTGAAGCAGAAGGAGAAATGCCGAGCTTCTTCGGCAAACCCTTCGTGAGTGGGATTGGGATGAGGGGGTGTCCCCGAAGCATGAATGAGAAAAAAGTGTAATCCGGGGAACCCCGCCACTTTCCACGGGGTGGAAACCACTGACCCGCTAGCCCCGCACACACCGGTGGCTCGGGATGAGGTAGAGAGACGGCTCTTGGGTGGAAGCGCTGCTGTCGGGAGCTGACCTAGCCCAGGGCTGCCCCAGGGGGGGGGGGGGCTGCGCCGCTGACGTCTCCGGGGCAGGCGGGTGGTGCGCGCCCGGAGAGCCCCGTCTGCGTCCTGGGCTGGCAGGACTCGGGCCTCGATCAGCCACATGCGGAGAAGAGGTTATGAGACGGGGCCGGAGTGAGCATCCTGTAGCCTCGGGATGGTCGTTTCCCCTCCATGGGCCTTGGCCTCCTCGTTTTTTTTTTTTTGTTTGTTTGTTTGTTTGTTTTGGCCTCCTCGTCTTTAGAGCAAAGGAGAAAAACGTAATCCTCCCTGAGGTCGTCCTGCACCGATATTATTATCTTTATGTTGCCCTGGTTTTATTAAACCACACCCCGGCCCCGTATTATGCTTCTCCTTGAAATTTACCAAAACAGCCTCATTACGCGCAGGATGACGTCCCAGTCCCCCAGCAGCCGGGAAAGCCCCGTGCCCTCTGGCATCTGCTCCGCTCTGACACCTGTTCCCCCACTGCCCGCCCCCCCATCCATCCATCAGTCACCAGCAGCTCCTGACATCTTCACCCTCGCTAGTCCTCTGTCTTCAGGGTGTGTCTCCTGTTCTTTTCCTGCGATGTCCCCTTACCCACCTTTCAGCCGCCCCGCAGCGGCCTCCCCGCCACCCGAGCAGAGTTGCAGCCTCTGCTCTCCCCCCGCCTCACGCGGCCACCGTGCTCAGGTCTAGGAAGCTGCGTCACCACGACGTGGGTCCGTGTCCGTCCCTGCTGCTGATCCTACTGTTCACCGCCAAGGGCAAGGATCCTGTCTTTTATTTTTTTTTATTTTTATTTTTTATTTGGATCTCTATAGACCTAGCGCCTAGCTCAGGACTCGTGCTTCGTAAATAGGGTCCATAAACACGCGAAGGAAGGAAAACGAAAGACATGAAGGACGGAAGACAGAACAAACAATGGTCTTGTGCTTTCCATACGGGTTTTCTCCCCAGACGGGAAAGGCCGACCCCAGATCTGGCTCCGGCTCAGTCCTGGTGAAACGGAAGGAAGGAGGCCCCTGAGAGGTGGCCAAGGTCGGGGCTTGAGGGGGCGAAGGACCAGCAGTTGCCGGAGGCCTCGCAGGCCCAGAAATATTTTGGTGACGGTTCACGGGCTTCAAAAAAAAAAAAAAAAAAAAAAAAAAAGCTGGCGGCTTGGCGGCTTCAGACTTCTCCGCATCACCTCTCTCTCCAAACTGTTAATGAAACACCTCCGTTAACCTTCCTTTCTCCCCTTCTTGTTCTTCTCCAACAGGTCTTCAGATCATCTTCCCTCAGTATCTGCAAGAGAAGTTCGTCCAGTCGGCCTTGAGCTACATCATGTGCAACGGGGAGGGAGAGTACGTGTGCCAGAACAGCCAGTGTAGGTGCCAGTGTGCGGAGGAATTCCCCCAGTGCAACTGCCCCATCACCGACATCCAGATCATGGAGTACACGCTGGCCAACATGGCCAAGTCTTGGGCCGAAGCCTACAAGGACCTGGAGAATTCAGGTAGAGAACCCGGGCTCGCAGTTCTGCAGCCGTGACCCTGAGCCACGTCTAGAGGGGACAACTGTCTAACTGGAGTTGGGGCCTCCGTGAGGGGATACCCAGTGTCCCCAGCTCACTTGTTCACTTTGGGGGGGGACCAGGGCCAGGCCTAGCCGCTGTCGTGGGGTCGGTACTCAGTCAGTCTCCACTGAGTGGAATAATGAACCCCATGATCGAGTTTGTGGCCCTAAGATGGATTGTCTGTTGAACCCAGAAGACAGAGTAACGCCACGTAGGCCCTGGAGGATGGAGAGGCAGAAAGAAGTATTTGCATTGATTCCTGAGTGTGTGTGCGTGTGCGTGAGCGTGAGCGTGAGCGCCTGTCTCTGAATCAGCAGCACGCGTGCACGTGCACGAATGCACAGGTGCATCTATCTCCATCCACGGAACACATGCGGGTAGATGTCCGTACGGGTACAGAGAGCTCAAGGATTCACAGTCACTTTGCAGGTACTTAGCCTATTTCCTGCTTTTCATGGTTCAGAAAATGCGTGGTCATGAATTCCAGGGGAGGAAAGTCGTTCTCCCGGGACCGGGTAGTGAGTGAGGGCCAAAGCTGGACCTCTGCCTCCCCGGAGCTTCCAGTTAACGTGGAAGCCAGACGCGAGTGGGGCGACCCGTACAGATAATTCCGGCTCGGTAATTCGGTGCGTGGGGAGCGGGGGTTAACGTGGTCGGGCGGGTCCGGAGAGGCAAGCTGGGGAAGAGCAGCTGAGAGGCGAAGAAGCACCTGTGACACAGAAGTCAGCAGGTGTGCACATGACAGCTAGGGGGGGCGGGGGGCACCCCCGGGGGCCCAGGGGGGTCAGGACAGCGACGTGGTCAGCTCGATGGTGCGTTGGGCAAGACGGGGAGCTGCCGTGTAGCCAGGGCTCCGTGTCACATCGGCCGCCCGCGTTGGAGAGATGGGTGTTGAGATCCGGGAGCCTTGGTTAGGTCCGTGGGTTAGATCGGACGCTGGTACCGTTCACTGAGCTAGAGCCCCTCGAGAGGTCGGACACGAGAAGCTTGGAAGCCTTGAGACTCCCAGGGGGAGGGCCCGGGCGGCCGCACGCGTCCAATATGTGCTCGGGTATCTGGTCAGAGGCGGACAGAGGCGGAGAGCGTTGCCGTTTCTTTTAAAATTAATATTCCTTAAATTCATCACAAGTACCGCACCACAGAGGAGGGAGCGGGCCGAGGCCCGGCGTCTCCCTCAGGGTCACGTAGTTAGTAACCAGGGCCGGTAACGGATCCCCGGGTTCCAAATCCAGAGCTCGTCGCGGCGCTCGCGACACTGTCAAGTCTTCTTTACCCCCTAGGCCTCCGCTCCCTCATCTGATAAATGAGAGGACGTGTTCGTGGTTTTCATATTTGAATGTGTTTAAATTTTTAGCCGAGAAACCCTTTGATCGAACGAAATCGCACCTCGGGGCCGCTGTGCCCTGCAGGTAAAAGCTGAGCCGCACCAGGGGCCCTGGTTTCCGTGAACAGGGAGCCCCCGCCAGCTTGGGGAGCCCACGATGCCCGAGCCGTCCTGCCCTCGGGGGCCCCGAGTGGAGTCCTGGCTGCCCGTGAAGCCGCACCCATCGGTCCACGTAGAACCCCAGGGACTCGCGGGAGAGACGGTCCCTGTTGCGACCATTATGTGGCCTCGAACGAAAGAAGCACTTGGTGAAATGCTTTGCGGCGAGGTTCCCCGGATTGCTAGGAGGCAGAGGGGAACCCAGGCTGTGTGGGGGGCTCGTTAGCGCATCAGCCTTTTCCCAAGGAAGGGAAACCACTGTCTGCGGGTAGACGGGGCGCGGGGTGGGGGGGACACAGACCTGAGGGGGTGCAGCGTAGCTGAAGGGGCCACAGGAGCAGCTTCCGCGGCCTGCCGTCTCCCCACAAGAGCGCACGGTGGCTCCAGGCCCCCCGCACTGGGCCACTGGGGATGCTTTTACCCACCGACGAGACCGCCCGTCTCTGGCTGGTGCACGTGTGGCTGGTGCACGGGGAGTTTCCTGCCCTTCGCTCAGCCCCTGGCCTCGGGAGGGAGCAGTGAGCAGCCCAAAGGGAAGAACCAACGACTCCTTCGTGGTCGGGGGCCGCGGTCAGAGCCAGCCCAGGTTGCACGCTACTCGGGCGTCCACGTCTCCCTGGTGGGGAGGGGCCCTTCTCCTTTTAGTCAAGAAAATCAAGACAGTTTGTCTTTTAAATCATAAAGCCCCGTCTGAGCGAGATCCAGGTTCATCGGAATGACTGTCCCATCCTTCGAGGTCAGGAGAGCCTTCCCAGGAGAGGCCGTGTCCTCCGTGGGGTGGGCGTGGGCACCCACGGAGCAGTCATTAGGGCCGGCCCCCTGCCTCCGGCCGGCTCCCCCATAAACCAGCCATCCTTCGGGTCCGACGCGGCCACCCATCCCCTGGGCGCGTCCCGAATGTAGGTCGAGAACTGTTTAGGCAGCTGCACTGCGACGTCACTCCCCCGGGATTGGCGTGGAGTGCGGGAATGCCTGTTGGGCAGATGGGGAAACTGAGGCATTGCACGGCTGCTCGGGGGCTGAGGTTGCCGGTCGGTGTCCTGCGCATCCGACTGTGGGTAACGAGGCGCCGGCAGCGTCTTGGGAGTCGGAGATCCCTGCGTTCCGCACCCCGTACTTACTTATTTTCCTCCCACTGCCCTCATCCGCTTCACGGGTTGAGAGTAAGTGTGTGAAGCCAGGAGGAGCGTGAGACTCGCGGCCTGGCCCGAGGCCCCGCCACATGCGGGCCGTGGGGCCTTGGCAAGGTGACTGACCTCTCCGTGTCCTGGTTTCTCTGAAAGGAGGCGCTGAAAGCACCCACCTCCTCGTCTGCCGTGAGCTCTCTTACGCGGGTTGGGGTTTGACACGGAGCGCCGTGCCCACCGAGAGCTACGTAGGCATTTTTAAAGCTAAAGTGAATGCCTAAGGGACTCGGAATTCCCTTGCAGGTTTCGTGACCCCAAGCGGAAGGGGTACTAGGCTGCAGGGACACCCGCCCCCCCCCCCAAGCGTTTACTTGGCTTTCTTTTCCTGCGACAGGATCAACTTCCCAATTCTTTTCCCAATAGTGTGGGGAGAGGGTGGCCGGGGTCAGTATTACATTAAAGAAGCAACAGCTCGGGTTTCAGTCCTGCCTCTTGTCCCTCGAGGGCCTTTCCACCTTCAGTAAATCACTTCCCCGCTCTGCGCCTCAGTTTCCCTCTATGCACAACCAGAAGAGCTGCCCTTATGTCGAGTTGCGGCCAGTACCGAAACTCTGAAATACAGAATCACAGGCCGAGGCAGGTCACGTCGAAGTCACCCCGGGGACCCCAGACTCGGCCCCATCTCTGGAGCTGATCCCCGAAATGGGACGTGACGTGAAAGGGCACCCGGACACCTTCCAGCAGGACCGGATTGCACAGGGGGGGCTTGACCCCCCTCAGCTCTCTGGCACCCCTGCAGGCGACGCCCAGGGGACAGTCGGGTTGGTGCCCCCTCTGCGGCCCTCCCTGCCCTCCTGGGGTCCTCAGTGGGCGCCTGCGGGGGGCTCTGGTCCTTTGGGCGGCAACCGTGTCGTCCAGGATCAGCTAATACAGTTCCCATCACTCCTGCATTTACGGCTCCCCTTCTCCTGAAGGCACGTGCTGGGGGGTCTTGAATGCTGAGCTGGATAAAAAACGTGGGTTAATCGATTCAAAGACCATATCAAGTCCGGATGATAGTGCGCATCCTTATGCCGCCGGCCTTGGGATGCCGGAGTCCGGGAAGGCAGGGTGGGGCCTGGGCGAGCGGAGTTAAGCTGGAGGGGGGGGGGGATCCCTGCAGGGCCGCGGCCCCTGGGCGCCTGGTCGGGGCCCACAGGGGACGTTTCCTTGGCAAGCCCGCGTTGCCGGGAGGTGGGTCGGCCGGGACGCGGCTCGGAGGGGGCCGCCCGGCTCAGCCCTTCTCCTCGGCCTTTGTCTCTCTTGCCAGATGAGTTTAAGTCCTTTATGAAGCGTCTGCCCAGCAACCACTTCCTGACCATCGGCAGCATCCATCAGCACTGGGGCAACGACTGGGACCTGCAGAACCGCTACAAGCTCCTGCAGAGCGCCACCGAGGCCCAGAGGCAAAAGATCCAGCGCACGGCCCGCAAGCTGTTCGGCCTCAGCATCCGATGCCGCCACAACCCCAACCACCAGCTGCCTAGGGAGAGGTAGGTGCGCCCCCGCCCGGCGCCCCGCCGGTCCCACCCGCCGCCCGCTTACCCTCCCCCGTGCAGAGGGTGCACCTGCGGGCAGCAGGCCGGGCCTTGGGGGTCCAGAGCACCCGTTCCCTGCGTCCTCTCTGGCTTCTCTGCTGCTGGTTCGGGCCCCCCCACGCGCCCCGGGTGTCTCCCCGTTGCCTGAATACGCCCTGAACTTTCGGCCTCTGCCCCCGGCCCGAGCCCTCGGCCTGTGGGAGGGAAGCCCACAGTAGCCCTGACTGCTGGGGGGCACGATGCTGGGTGCTTCGGATGTATTATCTATTTCATTTAAAAATCACTCGACCAAGCGGATTTTTAGCAGCCCCGTCTCAGTGGTGATGAAACCGGGTTAAGCAATCAGTCCGCTCCCTATCAAGGGCCTCTGGCCAGAGCCTGGGGTCAGGGAAGCAAACAGGGGACAGGCCATGAAAACTTGAAGGAGGCACTGCGTGGCTGGTGTGTGGGTGCAGGGCTCTCCCCGGAGGCCGGGAGCCTCCTTCAAGGCCCGGAGGCCTCGCTGGCCCCGCTCTGGGCTCGCAGGACAGAAGCACCTGCTCTTCACAGATCTTAGGGCTGATTTGCTCCCTCTGGAACCATCAGGAAGGAGCCAGGATTCAAATCCAGGCTGTTCAGACCCGGTTCCCCCGACGTGTCTGTAGGGGTGCATCTACCCCCCGCCCCGAGGTGGCTCGAGCCAGCAGGAGGCAGGTTTGGGGGCCGTGCACCCGCTCCAGCCGGCACAGCTGCGCCTCCGTGCGTCCCACGTGCGGGGAGTCATGTTCCACTTCACCGGGAGAGAAGAGTCCGGCTAAGGGGCGCCCGGCGGCTCAGTGGGTTGAGCATCCGACTCTCAGTCTCAGCCCCGAGCCTGACCTGGTGGCTCTTGAGACCCAGCCCCGCGTCCTTGTCCTGGAGCCCTGCACCCCGCGTGAGCCTGCTCTGACCTTCGCTCCCTCCACCCCTTCCCATGCTCGCTCCCTTTCTCTCTCTCCTAAATATAAATAGATGCGTCTTTCAAAAAAATAAGGAAAAGAGTGAGGCTAAGTCCCATCGACTTAACAGATCCGCCGTGGGCCACGCGTGTACACGCACGGTTGTGGGCCCTGTTGTGCGGATCAAAGAACGAGCTCCGAGGGGTCAGGCCATGGTCCAGAGCTGTGGGGCACATCCGCAGTCCCCACCTGGACGTGACGGAGCCCCCAGGGAACATCTACCGCTGTCCGAGGACATTGTGAGCCTCGTGGTGGGCGTCCTTTTGCACAGGGCCGTCCCCACCAGAGTTACCCTTCTCCAAGTCGGTGGTGCTGAGGCTGGAAGCCCCGATGTGCGAGGTCCCCGGCTCCACGAGTCTATATACGGGTTCTCCATCACCCCTCGGGTCCGTGCCGCTCTCCGAGCACACCCCTCACCCCTGCCACCTCCATGCACCCACCTGTTTTCCTCCTATTTTTCCAGACTCAGATCAAATGCCACCTCCTCCGTGAAGCCTTTCCTGATGGCCGCGGCCAGCACAGAAGCCCCCTTCTCTAAGTCCCCGTTCCCTGCCCGTCTTCCCTACTGCTCCTCCTTGTGCATGCTGGGCTGCGCTCATCTCCGCTTCTCCCACTCCTGCCAACTCTCGGCCCGTTGCTCTGCGCCCGGTCTGTGATCGTCACTCTGTGAGCCGAACAGGATTTGCTCTGCCGCTTGCTCCCTCGTTTCAGTGCCGTAGGAGCAGGACCCAGGAAGGTGGCGCGGTCACAGGACGGCTTCCGTGCCACCTGCGGCAGGTGCCAAACCGCCCCCGTGAGCGCCTGCCTGGACCCCACCTGGGCCTCCGTCACGTGCCCTGCGCCGGGCACGGTGGGGGACTCGGAAATGAACACGGTGAAGGGTCGGCCCCACCCCCGGTTCCGCGGGGGCCGCCTCCCCCGTGTCCTCACGGGGCATCCCCTCTGTGCATCTGCTTGGGGCTCACCTCAGTGACCTCAGTGACCTCATTTCGACTTTATCACCTCTTCAAAGTCCCTCTCTCTGGATAGAGCCGCATTCTGAGGCCCCGAGCGTGAGGGCTCGAACACGGGAACTGGGGGGTGGGTAAAACAGCCCAGAACCGCAGAGACGTGGCTTTTGATCACGTCCTTCGGTGAAGAGACCGTGCGCCCCAGGATTCGCCCCACGGGATGCAAACCGGGCGGGGAAGGGTAGCGTTAGGCGGGGACCAGACTTTAAAACGGGTCCATCTGTCGATTTTGCTGGTCGTCAACCTCAGAGGGTGGAGCCGAAGGTCCGAGGCCCCGTGAACGGTGTGGACGGACGCATTTATGAAAGCGGACAAGAGCGTCCAGGTGCAGATCGCAGGGCACCATCAGTCAGGCCTGGAGGGCTCCAGAAGGAGGGCGGCCCCACAGGCATTGCCGGGAGGGACGGGGGAACAGAAACAGCGATGGGGGAGCCCCAGCTCCAGCCAGGGTGCTGCATTGAGACCGTGCCTTGCACTGGCCAGCCGGGGACCTTTAGTGCGTCCCCTCCCTACCCTGGGTGCAGGTGTCCACAGGGTTCCCCATCCGTGTGGGCCGTCAGGCTGCAAAGGTCCCGCCGCCGGACCTGCAGACGTGGCAATAACACTTGCCTTCATGTGAAGTGTGAGGACTAAGATCTTAATTTTTTTTTAAATATTTTATTTATTTATTCATGAGAGAGGCAGAGACACAGGCAGAGGGACAAGCAGGCTCCCTGCAGGGAGCCCGATGCAGGACTCGATCCCAGGACCGCAGGGTCACGCCCTGAGCCCAAGGCGGATGCTCAATCCCTGAGCCCCCCAGGTGCCCCCAAGACTAAGTTTTTAAAATTTGAAAATAAAAAAAAAAGGCAACGCCTGACTCAGTTAACAGAGGGCTGGGGGGAGAGAAGGAGCCGCTGCCGCTGTATCTGTGCAATCCCCAGGCCAGGCGAGGTAGCTCACTTGCTCCTCGCCCGAACGGCATGAACTAGGTTCCTGTGCCGTCTTACGATTCCTATTTTACAGGTAAAGGAACTGAGGTGCAGGGAGTCTAATCACATGCCCAAGGTCAATAAATGTTAATTATTTTATTGTTACTTCAGAGAGGTGCTTGCCTATAAAATTAAGTGGTAATTCAAATCCAGATAATTGGAGCTCAGGTTATTTTTAAAGATTTATTTATTTATTAGAGAGAGAGAGAGAGAGCATGCACGTGCATAGGGAGAGGGAGAAGCAGACCCCCCCCCCCACGAGCAGGGAGCCTGATGCAGGGCTCGACTCCAGGACTCCGGGGTCACACCCTGAGCCAAAGGCAGAGGCTCAACCGCTGAGCCCCCCGGACGCCCATTCGTAGCTCAGTTTGAGGCATCCCGAAACCCTAACAGTGGGCTGGGAAGCAAAGGGGCCTTCTGGCCATCGACTGCTGCCAACAAACTCAGCCCAAGACTTCGTGGCTCAAAGCTGCACTTTCTGACAACCTCTCCTGAATCTGTAGGTCGTTACGGGGCACGGCCGGGGTCAGTCAGGCTGGCCGGGGCTGGGCTCAGCTGTCCCTCCCACGGCTGGCGAGCCGCTGGCTCTGGGCTGGGAGCTCGGCTTCCCCAGCGTGACAGCCGAGGACTTCGTAGATCTTGGCCCTGGAGGTCAGACAGCGTCACTTCCACCGTGTTTTAGTGGCCAAAGTGCAGCGCGGATCGGATTCAGGGGCGTGAGTACTGGGAGGCGTGGGTCTCCGGGGGAGAGCGGCACCTGCCAGGACTGGAATCATTCCTGGGGGTTAGGTGCCACGGGATAGGGTGGGTGCACATGGAGCTAGACGTGACCGTCTGACGTGCAGGGCGATAAGGCCCGTACGAGCCCTAACAGCCTCCCACTGAGCCGCCGTTGTAGCCAGCAGGAGGGCTGGCCAAGGTGAAGGTTCTGGAGCCCAGCTAGCTGGGTTCAAGTCCCAGCTGTGTCCGCGGCTTATCCTGCAACCCTGGGGAAGTCCACACCGGCTCTGAGACTCAATTTTTCTCCTGGGTAACACGGGGCTTATGATAGTGTTTCGAAGATTAAAGGCCTTAATGCACATAAAATGCTTAGGACAGTGTCCGGCACACGGAAAACACGATGCGCACGTCAGCTATTTTCCTTAAAGATTTTTAGTTTTTTATTTATTCATTCATGAGACCGAGAGAGAGAGAGAGAGAGAGAGAGAGAGAGAGAGAGGCAGAGACCCAGGCAGAGGGAGAAGCAGGCTCCATGCAAGGAGCCCGATGTGGGACTCGATCCCGGGACCCCGGGGTCACGCCCTGGGCCGAAGGTGACACTAAACTGCTGAGCCACCCGGGCTGCCCGGCTATTTGCCTTATTGTCATTTTACCAGGCGCTGACATTTGGCCTGTAAGGTCTTGGCCTGTGGCAACTCAGCGAGTCCAAGTGTTGGTAACGACGATATGCGTACACGGTACACATGTGTGCGTGGCGCCCGTGTCCGTGTGTCTATGCACCTCTATCCACATGTGTGTGTTCCCTCAGGGATCCACGCGGAGCCGGGTTTCTGCGCCCCCCCCCCCCGGTACCCAGCATTCAGTACTTGTTAAATGAGCACGGCGAACCGACTTGCCGAGCTGGGATGCCCACGTATCCGCGCCCGCTAGTCCTCGTCAGTCCTCTGGGTGCATATACGTCATCCAGGCCTCGTCCTCTCTGCACAAACTTGAGGCCGCTGGATCGGACTCCCAGACATTAGCGGGAACTGAGGGGGCACACGTGTGATTAGCTTGCCCGAGGTCACAGGGCAGGTGAGTGGCAGGACTGCAGTTGTCTTGCTGGGCAGGTGCAGGCCCCGAGCACCATGCGGCAGCAGAGAGAGTGCTTGGGGCACCCCGGTGTGTGGATGGCGATGCCAGAGCAGGGTTGCTCATTCAGGTTGTGGGGGTGGCGATGGAGCCGGATGGGAATTTCATAGGCTGGGATGTAAGAAGGGGCTCGTGCTGCGGGACCC